GGCCCGGCGCAGGGTGGCGGCCTGGTCGCCAGAGGGCGTCACTGGCGGCCGCTGGCTGGGGCCGCGGAGGCTGTCGCTGGAGGGGTCTCGGCCGCGCGCCCGAGGCCACCCGCCTGGGCGCGGCAGTGAGGCAGGAGCCCCAGTCCAGTGAGGAGGAGGCCAGAGGGCCGGCAGCGGTTCCAGGAGGGGGCGAGTCGGCGCACTGATGATGGCCATGCTCCCCATCTTCATCGGGGCCGTCGCGGCGGTGGAGATCGGGCGGCGTTGGGGGGCACCCGCCGCGCCCGCTGCGCCGCCAGCGCCGCGCGTTGCATTCGAGCCCGCGGACGCGACGTGGGCAGCCGATGGGGGGAGGGGCAGCGTGCCCTCCTCTGCTGCGGGCGCCGGAGGAGGACCAGCGGGGCCGCGGCCTGGCGGTTGCTAAGGAGGAGCCGCAGCGCCACTCACCCCCCCTAGGCTGGGCCACAAGGGCCGTCTGGAGGCAAGGGGCGGACAGTCGCCCATGCGCCGCCACTGGGCGCAGCCGCGGGCGGCAAGGGCGGCGGCCGCCCCCCCCCCGCCGCCTCCCCCGCGGGGTACGCAGGCGCCAGGATCCAGCGAGGAGGGGTCGGGCGCTGCCCAGAGGAGGAGGGGCCCAGCGTGGGACTGGGTCACAGGGTGGGCCGAGAGCCACTGGCCATGGGCGAGCGGCGAGGTGCCAGCCCCCCCCCCCACGCCGCCCCAGGAGGAGACTGGGTAGGAGGAAGCCATCGTGGCTGGTTCGGCATCGGCGGCGTGAAGTCGGGTGGGCGGGTGGTTCATGGACCTGCCAATGACAGAGCTCAAGTGGGCCGACGTCGCCTGGGGCGGCGGCGGGGTCACCGGGAGCGGCCTCGACGCGCTGGGCCACGCGGCCTTCGGTGCGGGGTGGCCCACGCTGTGCTGGACAACCCTCGCTGCTCTCATCGTGGCGCTGGTGATCGGCCTCGGGCGCGGGCTCCAGTCCATCGCCTCGGCCTTCGACCTGCTGCTGTGCGCGCCGCCCAGGTGGGTTGGGCGACTGCTCGGATGGCGCTGCCCAGCGAAGGCATCAGGCCCGTCTGCAGTGGACGAAGGCGTCGTGCCAGGGCTCCAGGAGCCCGCGACCGCCGCGCCTGTGGAGAACGAGATTCACGCGCAGCTGCGCGCGAAGGGAGCCGACAAAGCGCCGCACCACCTGATCATCAAGGTGGGTGATGCCGCAGACCGCAGCCAGGTTGGAACGCCCTTCGCTGAGCACTGACATCAAGTGCAAGAAGGCTGGGGATCGCATGACCCTACAAGGAAGCACTGGCGACTACCTCACGACGTATGCAGGGTCTCCTGGAGGGCTCCCAGGACAAGGTGATCCACCTTTGCCGGGAGATGCCGTGTGTCGACGATGGTCATCGCGCAGTCCATGCGCCAGAATTCGGGCACGTCGCGGCCGACTCGGACACCGACCTTGAGGCGCTGATCCGCGCCTCGCCGAAGCCCGTTTGGTTCGGGAGAGCGGCTGGTTCAGCGGCGGCCCCGCGCGGGCGTGGATGCGCGGCTGCATGCCTTAAGGGGTGCGCGAAGCTCTGTGGGTCACTGGAGGCGCGGGCAGCGGGGGTGCCGGCGCGGCAGAAGGAGCGCTGCCGATGCCCCAGCGGAGCTGCTCAAGGACCCAAACTCGGAGACAGAGTCGGGACCCGAACGCCAGCGATGCAGGGCTCGCGACGTTCTGCACCAGGAGGGCGACACCGTCTACCAACTGTCGAAGGAGAAGTGCCGCGATCGAGCCCGCGGGGAACCGATCCGCCTGGTCACCGAGGACGGGGGGGTCCAACATCGCAGGCCCAGAGAAGGCGGCGACGCTGCGTTGGCAGAATGCCAGCGCGCGCCAGAGGGGGCGCGGGAGCAAGAACTGCGCGCACCTCGGGTACCACGCGCTGGGCCGGGCGATGAACTGCGGCGTCTTGACATGCCTCGAGCGCGACTTGTCGGTGACCGACCAGCTGGGCCTGCAGTTGCGGTGGCAGGGCTGACGCCGGAACGCCCGAGGGCGCCCAGGTCGCGATCCCCGCTTCCGTCTGGGACCTACGCGTCGGACAGGATGGCGCATCCCAGTTGCGCGCGGCTGGCGGCCATGGCGCGCGGGCTCAAGGGCTCGGAGACCGCGGGGGAGCAGACTACCTGCTGGGTACCCTGCTTCGACCTGTTGGCGACTGTCCCGTCCAACCTGGGACCAGTGATGGATGGTCGCGCGCGCGAGGAGGCTGCGTCCGCGGGGCCCCCGCTATCGATCATGCTGAAGACGAGTGCGCCGGCTCAGGGCGGGATGGGCGCGGCCATCGCCTTGGCCAAGGGTTCGGCCGGCCGCGAGGGGCACCCGCTATGCTTCATCCAGCGAGGAGTCGAGGAGAGGCCTGCGCGCCAGGTGGGGAGCGCGCCCCGCGAGGCCCCGCCCGTGCCTCCCCGCGCCAGGGGCCCGCAGCCTCCCTGGCGAGAAACGCTGTCCAGGGAGGAGCTGGGAGGGCTCCTGAGTGGCGCTGCGCGAGAGCGGCGGCGTCGGCGTGGAGAGGGCGCACTTGCGCCGGAG